TTGCATATGAACTAATCAATGATCAATACATTCACGTATCCTCTAAATATTTCTCATGTCTAAGTAATATTGTGAGTGTTATCATGTTAATCATTAAATGATCTCCCAACCTAACTATTAACATGATAATTTTTAAAGCTTGATACAAGTGAATACTAACTCACAAATCCATGTCTAGAGCTTGTTTATTAGTAGATGAATATCTTAGGTCAAGCTTGGATCTTACTTCTCAATAATGAACCAAACCATAAAAATAATAATGATACAAAGATATTCAACATGTATTAATCTTCAATCAAGTTCATATACAAAATGATTAAAAGAAATAAATTAAGTCTAGGTTGACTACTTCTAACCTTGGCACAAAAAGTGTTTACCTACTCATTGTCATGATACCTTGCTCAATGAATAAACAATGGATGTTGATGAACATCAATCTTCAAGTCTCCTTGATTCAAGATGCAAGAGTGTTCTTGTTTTTCTTCTTCTCAAGAGATAAGAACAAAAAATATTTTCTGTTGTAATGTTATGATCCATAGAACAAAAGGTTTCTATATCTCAAATCAGATTTTTTCCCCTCCACAAGGCAAAAGTTGGTGGAAAGTTTCCATAAAAGGTGGCAAAAAGTAGTCAAAAGTATGGTCTATCTGCGCTTCATCGTCGGGCGACTATAAAGCATCGTCGGGCGATTCTGGCAAGATGCCACACGTGATCAGCTGGGCGTGTTAAAACCCCAAAAGAGTATCTTTCATCGCCCGACGACAAGAATGCTTCGCCGGGAAATCCTCCTTTCGCCAGGCGACCCAGAAGCGAAGCAATACAGAATTGAAGCTTATATATTTCACCATTTTCGCCGAACGACGCATCCTGTCGTCGGGCGATCCTTTGCAGCATCAACACTCTTGTTTCTTTTGCTTAGCAAGCCTAAATTCTCCATTTTTGCCATCTTTTCTACACAGATTTTTCTGAAATACTAACAAACAAATTAAACACTCGCAATTCTTTGTACTCAAGCAAAATGACTTAAAATAAGTATTTAACCAAATCAAAAGTGAAATAAAAGGTTTGAAAGTGTCAATAATTAATATGAATTTTATCAAAAGTTGACACTTAACAAATCCATATGAGCTAACAAACCCCAGTTGAATCCAATTGAGTTAATTCTAATAATTTATTAGTCCATTTTTCTAAACCTAAAATGTATGACAGCTCCCCGTCAAATTCCTGTTTTAAAATTTTCTTATCTTATTTTTTTTACAACCTACGATGTATGACAGCTCCCCGTTAAATTAAAAACCTATAATTTTCTTATTAGATCGTATTTACATTTTTGACAAACGTGAAATGTATGACAACACCCCGTCACAATATAATAAACTATGTAAAATATGCTCATGCAAATTCGACATAGAATTTACTTTTATTTAAATATGCTCAATACTTCTTCAGCCCAAACCCAAACCCAAATGTGTTGGTTGGAGCTGTGGTTGGTGGGCCTACCAATACTACAGATTCGTTCCCTGATTCAAGGCCTTTCTATCAGCAGTCTGAGCCCACTACTTATATCAATGCACCACTTGTGGGCTTGATTGCTTTCTTTTCAGCTCATCCTTGATGTTGCACATGTATAATGTAGTAGTAATAGTATGATATTAATATGTCTATGTGGTGGGAAAAATGGTCACCCTTTAATATTCTTGAAAAGAAAAATGTGGGTAATAGTATTATGTATCATGATTTGAGGTTGTTTCCTAATTTCTATCGATTAAGTGAAGCCAAATTGCAATTTGTATTTAGGATATATGATACTTCTTTCATCCTTATTTATAAGCAAAAGTTTTTTAAATTTTTTATTAATTAATTTATATTGTTAGGGAATGATAATTTAATTAAGAGTATGGTAGTAATTGTGTTAATTAATTTGTATGATACTGAGAAAATTAAATACACTTAATTATCATAATAAACATAAAAAATGTCTTTTTTATTTTTAATGGAGAATGAAAGGATCATTGGGCTTATTGAATTAATGAAAATCAAGTTGTACAAATGAATGGGCCAACTAATGTATATAAAGGTTATCCATCCCATTTTATAGGGTGTTTTCACACTACGGTGAAAATGACATTTCTTTAATATAAATGGCTTTTGGTAATGGTGGTGGAGAAGATGCATTACTAGTGCGAGTACTCTTGAATATATATTGAGATTTTAGAGTATTGAGATTTTAGAGTTGGAGAATCTGGAAAATATGCGTCAACATGTTCAAAGTATGAAGGGGATTGTCCAGTAGAGTTGTCATTGTGTGTTGATTTGACTTTTTTAAGGGCACTCTTTATTTTAATTGATTCCAATGGTGATTTCAATTCATTGTTTCTGGATAGAAAATATTCCTTAGTTGCTCTTTGATGTGAAATTTCATTATGTCATCAACTTTCGAAAATTTATCTTGGATTATTTTCCATTCCGTCATAATAGTTATACTTGATTGATCATCTTTCATCACACCATCATCATTAAACCAAAGCCTTTTCCAGTGAGTTTAAATTTCATCCATACGTACCAATTTAATAAACTTCATTTTCTTTGACATTAAACAAGCACATGGAAGATCGTACATCTTCTCAAGTGTACAACCACCTTTTGAGCTATTTGAACTTGTTTTATTTGTTTGTTTGGCTTCGTGAAAAATAAAGTTTAATTCCATCCAAGATATGTTGTCAACCAACTCTAAATAAAGGATGTTGTCTTTGCATTGATGCTCTAACACAATAATGCTCCGACCAAAAGATGTGTGTATCTCATTATGTTGGTTTCAGAACACTTGGTTCATGACATCTCAAGAAAATTCAACATAAAATATTACTTTTATTTAAAATAAATGAGTATAATTGTCTAATAACCGTTCTTCAAAATATATAATTATTACAAACAAAAAAAAAATTTAGACTACGTTAATATTCTCAAGATTAAAAGTGTAACCTTTCAAAAAGTATACACAATATATTTAGAAAATGGTAGAAAATTTTATTTGTTAAATTATAATTCTATTTAAAATAAATTAGAATTCAAATTTTATTGAACATAAATTTATGGAATCAAATCATACATAGAAATAAAATATATTAATTTCACCATTCAAAATAATTTCCATATATAATAAATGATATTAATGCCTCCATTCAAAAGGTATATTTGTAAAATTTCGATTTAAATTATTTTCATATGTTTATATTCTAATGTCTATAATATTTCTACAATATGAAACAGTATCAAACCTATAATGTTAAAATAGAATTTCAATTTTATTGATCATAATATTTTATGGAATCAAATCATGCATAAAAAAGATATATTCATGTCACCATACAAAATAATTTCCATATAAATATAATAAAAATAAATGATATTAATGCCTCCATTCAAAAGGTATATTTGAAAAGTTTTGATTTAAATTGTTCTCAAATATTTGATAAAATTTGTAATATTTGATAAAGAAATATTAATTGATCATACTTTAAAAAATTAAATTGTAACTACTTTATAAAAAGAATTTAGAAAGATTTATGAGAAATAAAAAAATGCTTAAATTTATAAATTATAAGGTTAAATTAAAATGATTTTATTTTGTTTTAGTAATTAAGTTGAAAAAAATATAATATCAATTTAGAAGTTAAACATATTTAGATTAAAATAAGTTGTTTGAGTGGCACGTTTATAAAAACATATTTAGATTTAAATATTTTTATTAAGTTAAAATTTTTAATTTAATTAAAAAAATATGTATATAACTGAAAAAATAGTGGCACGTTTATAAAAAAAATTATTAATAACATATTTTTTCATTATAAAAAATATTTATATCAATAATACACTTTTTCCGTTTATAAAAAAATAGAATAAGATTTATTTTGAACACTTATTTTTATTAATAAATTTTTAAGAAATTGATATTCATGGTCATCAATTACAATATTAAACAATAATTTGATTATTATTGTTGTAGTTATCAGTATGTGAATAAAAACAAAAAACAAATTTAAGAATATAAAAAATTAGAATTGAAATTTATAAAATTAGGTTTTCGTATCTGTAATGAAAATCTTTTCATCTAGATTTGTGCATTTGCTATAAGAACCGCTTTGAGAGATATAATTTGTTTTAAACCGATTTAAAATCAATTTGATATTGATTTTAATTTTAATTTAAACTATTTAAATATATTTTGATTTAGATTTAATTCATTTTTATGAATAATAAATTTCAATATACTCATATATACTTAACGTGTTATATTAATAAAAATTTCTACTATACTAATTGTTACGAATTATTACCAATTAAAATTTCTATTATGTACTAATTTCTAATATATATATATATATATATATATATATATATATATATATATATATATATATATATATATATATATATATATATATATATATATATATTATACTTTCTATCAGGTTCTGCTTAAAATTTTTACTATATATTTCAATTAGAATAATTATATTTCAATACTCATTAATAAATTATCAATGGTAATTTTTAAATGATATCTGATAAACAGTATAAGTAACTACAACTTATACCTAATGCAGTCACATGATAAACAGTGTCGTGCTTTGAGAATCCTATAATATATTTGCATGTCAAATTTCTACTGATATTGTTGTCATCTTGTAACCCTTGTTAATCTTATATGCAATGGTTTCTGTTAATATGGATCTATGTTCAGTTTTGAAATTCTGAAATTTATGTATATCCCATATCTCATCCCATTTGGATTGGAGTTGGTCTTGCCAAAGCAGTCATCAAAGTTGTATTGACTTCAAATATTAAGCAGGCAAATAGAACAATTATGCATCAGAATCCCTATTGTTAGCTCAGTTCTAACTCTCGAACTGAATACAATATAACTTAAATTATCTATTAACTAACAACTCTTACAGTTCTAACTGACATATATAATTTAATTCAACTTCAGTCCGGTTTCAATTCTCAAATGCCTCAACCAAACAACACACATTTCCCTCTGTACTCCATCTTGCATAAAAAACATCCCATATTTTGTCGCTTTCGATTATCAAAAACTCCTCACCGAATCTAGAGGCCACTGGAACATTTTGCTTCTTTGGAATATTTTGCTTCTTGGCACCAACTGTGTTATACATCAAAGGAAATAGGGATTTTATTGTTAGCTTATAATAATTTAGGCATAAAGTTGGTTCATCATAAGAATGCAAAAGCATTATCAGGTACTACACTAAGTGAGTACTGGATTGGCAGGGTTGAAATGCTTAAGACTTGAATTTGAACAAATCATCATGAGCTAGATGATGAAGTTTATAAATGTTTAAGCATTCCAATTACAAACCCAATAGTACTTCAAGAAAAAATATATATTCTTTTCAAATCCATGATACCGGTTATATATACCTTGGAAACAAATCCTTTAGAAGAAAACATGAACTTCAAAGTATTTTGTTGCTCCTAATCTATTAGAGCAGTAGCAGTCCTAGATTCAGAGAAAACTGAAACTGGTGTAGAGCCAAACTCATGCATTTCTTTCATTTACTTGAAACATTGTATATTTAACATCAATATTTAAACATTGGATAGGGTAAGAAAAACTAAGTTAGTGACAAAAGAGACAATTCAGAGTTAGATAAATTGTCTACCTACCTGTTATTGTGATCATAAGAGCTCAAGTGTGCTTCAAATTCTATTTCTAATTTGTATTGTTTATTGCAGAGTTCACAAAAAAAAGCACCTTATGGATTTCTTTCACCTAAGTTTGAATTTTTTTCTCACGTTCAGCTAACACTTGGATTTTCAGAATTTGCCCAAAGCAGGAAGAAGAAGCCACTGAGTAATAAAAACTGCAGGAAATTCTCAAGATCTTCCAAAATTGATGGTTCCTTATGACATACCAATCCGGTTAAAAGGCATGGATAAAAGTTATATGTTGCCTTATGCTACCAGGTGCAGGTTTGAGAAAATATAAACATCAACCTCAACTTTACAATATGATGTAGCAACAAAATATAAACATCAACCTTATATATAATGCAACAACTTCATCAACGAAGATCAAACAATGATTGAAGCTGAAAAGTAAAACAACAAAAAACAAAGATAGAAATCAGAAGCAGCTATGAGTAGTGGATTTAAAAGAGAAATCATTGTTAGACACTTTAAAATTCTACATTATGTATGAGCATCCAACAACAAGATGTTCCTTGAATTTTGAAACTAAAAAGGGTGGTACAATGGCTTGAATCATATCTCTCTACAAAAAAAAAAAACAATTATAAAAAGTCAATATTACAGATACCCAAAGGTTTAAGAAGGTATATTACGAACATAACCACCGCCATCATACCTTAGAATCAACCAAAATCATCTCAATATGTTCTTTTTTCGAAGCACTCGTCACATATCAGATGTGTTTGCTCCTAACAAGAATCTTCCATAAATCTTTTGATTCATTGATGTCCTTTACAGATTCAAGAGGGTGAGCCATAAATGATGTTATAAGTTGTAACAACAACAGAAAAAACATAGAATCAGTTTATACCTATAGGAACGATAAACATGATGATTCCAAATAATCAGACAAAAAAGAAATTGAAACAGTAAGGGGCCAAACAATCAAATCGACTACCTGATGAATCCAAACGTGGTGAAAGAATAACTTTAAGATTAGAGTATGAACAGATACGGGGAATGAAGCTTGTATTTATGGTTGAGTTAGAGGGTCTCGTTTCCTGAAAGTGCAGGATTAACTCCATAAGGAAAGCTGAAGAGTTTATGAGTGTGTAATAGATGAGTCTGTATTGGAACCGTGGACGGGTTTGTATACCTTCAATGTATTGGAACCTCAAAATGCAACGCAGTCAGTAAATAGGATTAAGTTAAGTAGTATAAACTATTAAAATAATAATTATAAAATACCAACAAATAATTTGAGAGTGTCACGTAAGTGACAATTAATACTAAATCAATATTAAGAGAATATGATTTGATAAGACAATTTTAACCTTTCAATTAATATTAATTAAATTTGGAATCAATTAGATTATTATGTAATTTATCAGTACTTTAAAGTTTATATATTTATATTAGAAACTCTTAGTTTTATTTTTAAAGTGGTTTACAAGGTTTCGAATATAGTTTTATTTTTTTGCAGAGATGGGTGGATGAAAAGCAAGTTGATTGGAAAATTGGTTGATCAATCCTAATAATGATAAAATAGCTTAATAAAGTTTATTTGTATTTGGAAAAAAAAATTAATTTTAGTTTTGATGTTGTTTTGGTATAAAGTAATTTTATATTTTAGATCTATATGATGTTTAAAATATTAATTAATATTTTTTTAGTTTAATTTATATTGTATTTTTAATAATTAAAATCTATCATTATTATACAGGTCACTATCACCACAATTCCTTTTATGTTTTAATTAACAAAATATTTATAAATACTTATAGTTAAAATTATATTTTCATTAAATGACTTTTATATATAAATTAATTTACTCGTACGAACGTATGAGTCTTCAACTATTTATTCATGCAGACGCACGGATCTTCGATTAATTAATAACAATAAAATTAAATACGGGACATCTAAAATAAATCAAGGGAATAATCAAAATACAAACATACATATTAGGGGATAACAAACAATTCAAACACAAACACAGGCAAAGGCATTTCTAAGAAGAAAAACGCGTGATATGAAGCTTCAAAATATATGTTGTCATGTTTTCATTTTTTTACTGATGCGAGTTGTAACATGTCACTGATATGTAAAAAAAACTAATTAATGAAACTTACTGCTAAACAAAAGGCAATATTAGTAATGTGTTAGAAAAATAACTCAAATGTAAAAAACTAATGTGTTAGAAAAATAACTCAAATGTAAAAAACTTGACTTTGCTGTAACTTTGATTCTCTTTTTGTATTTAGGTGATGTGATCAATTTATAAAGTAAATGATTGTGAAAACAAATGCAATGAAACTATTATTATTTCTACCTATTCATGCAATTATAAGAACTATATATTTCAAATGTGGTTATGCAAATTAAAAAAATTCAAATTCGTAATAAAAAATGTAAAATTTAATGGAAAGTGCAAATATGATGTAAAAAAAGTTATTTAGTTACTAATATGAGAAACCAACTTGCAAAAAATGTGAAATATGATATGCAAAGTAATGAGACTAATCTTTCAAATCATATTGTGACTAACAGAAGAAAAAAAATAGACTTTATTTAGGATGTAAATGATACTGATGAATTGATGCAAAAATGCAAATGAGTCAGATGAAAAATCAGGGTGAAAATTAGAGTGTGATACCTTGAGTTAATCACGATCAGGCATCAAGTCTATGTTATACTTGTACTGCCTAACAAATGCTTCACCAAGATCATTAAAAGTACGGATGTTGGCGCTGTATAAGTCAATATACCATTTTAACGCAACTCTGATTAAACTATCCTTTAAATAATGGATTAGTAGACGTTGATCTTCGGTGTGGGTAGACATCTTCCTGACATACATCACAAAGTTACTCTGTTGGACAAGAGTTTCTCTTGTATTTCTAGAATTCATGATTTTTGAGTTTGACTGGCACCTTGACATTAGGGACAAGGCAGAGATCACTGACATTCTTATCAAACGGTTCTTTACCCCTGAGAGCTTTCATTTCCTTATGCGTTTCCAAGAGCTGGTCCTGAAAATCATTCATTCGGTCATAAATGTCCAAGCTCTCACTTGGTGCAGCTGCAACATGATATATATGATCATCAACAACATGAGTCGTATGCATAATAGGACGTGCAACAATCATAACATACTGAATAGGATTAGGAACTTCAACAACTAGATTATAACCTTCGGAAACAAAATTTGGAGGTACCCCAGGGAAAGCTAGGTGGCATCTGATGGTGAGCAGCAGCACTGACAGGAGCAACATGAACTGGATTAGAAACAATTTTAGAGATAACATTGACTTGAGGTTGAGTCTGAGCTTGAGGCTGAGCAGGAGTTTGATTCTGAGCTTGAGCGGTAATCAAAGATTCAACCAGAGCAGTCAGATGGGCCATATCAATCCTAAAAGTGGTGACTTCTTTCCTTAGTTCCCTATTTTCTTTCTCAATATTTTTCATCATTCTCTTGTCATTAGCACGAGTGTTGTATGAATGTGACAACTTGACTGTTTAAAGACCAAGAGAAATAAATAAGATCCCTGGAAACTTGCGGGATGCAAAAATTAAATGCAGAATGATGCATGATATGTAATGCAAATGATTTATTTATTCAGTTTTCAAGAAACTTAAGAATCCATAAAAATTGCAAACATCAAGACAAATAACATATTTTTGAAACACTGAAAAACTCATTTTATTAGCAACTTGAAAGGATTATAATTTGAAGTACAAAATTTTCAAAAGATCCCTAAAGGAGAAAAGAGAAAGCTAGAATCTAAGGGTCCTAAGGAATCACATCTAATGATGATCCTACTCAATGTTGGTGTTTCCTCTTGAACCTTCTAATATGAATCTTCAACTGAGTATTTTCTATCATGAGCTTGCCAATGACACCCTTCGAAGCGCCAGTGGTAGGAAGAATGCAAGAATAATCTTGAATACTAGGAACTGGCTGAATACTAGAGGAAAATAAATCCTCTTACTCCTACATCTTTTCAATAGCATGCTTCTCAAGAATCTTAATCAAATCATCCTTCTACTTCAACTACTTCTAAAGTATTGAGTATTCCATATCCATAATATGATACTTTTTCTTCCAAGCATCCTTCTCTTGTTGCATCAGAGACATTTATGTTATTCTATAAGGGTAGAATTGTAAATACACCAAGGAATATTTTTTTCTACCTTGGTCAAATAATTTATCCATTTAGGGTTTTTTATTTGGGTTCGAAGGTAAACCCGTAAAAATCTATGGTTTTAGGATTTAGTTACTAAGTCATCGGTTCGATTCGAAATCCTAGCCTGTTCAAAAGTTTTCACCGATTTGACATCAACCAGATATTAAAATATCAAGTACGTTGGTGGTTATCTTGCGCAAAAACTCTTTTTGGTTCGTAAGCTTAGTCCGATTTAAAATCTTGGTTATCCCTTAACTATTTAATTTCCACATCTTAGTTTTTGTTGCTTATTTCTAAACCTTTTCTAAAATGTTTTTAAACTCTAAAATTAATCCAAAAACTTTTTCAAAACCGAGCTTTTCTGAAACAGATAATTCACCACCTATCTTGTCTGTGGGCTGACATGCCCAACATGCATATGTTACAATGACCAATTTTTCATGTTCTCCCACTTCTATTAAGAGGCTGAAGAGACATTTCACATCCAAGGCATAAAAAATATATAGTGTTCCAAGGTAGTCAAGGTGCACATGAGAATGAAGGTATTAAGTATTTGGTCCAAAATTGGTTCTGCTAGGAGGAAACTTCAAAGTCCCATCCATCCCCAACATGTGCACATAAAAAAAAGGGTGAGTCTGAAGAAACACCCATTAACCCACCTTTTTGGGTCATAGAGTGTAATTCTTCTCCCATAAATAATAAAATGATCAAACACTAAATTCAAGCTCCACATAATTGCATTCCTTAAAGGTGGCACCCGGGATGCCACAACCATAAAGTCAAGAGAAATAATAAGCTACCACACAATTCATATTGTTTTACGGTTTTGAAAAATTTCCACTGAAGAAATTACTTGGTCGAGTCACTGACTAGTTTTCTCTCTTTAAGACATTTCGTGGCACTTCCCAATGTTATGAAAAAAAGTCACTCAACCACGATGCCTGCAGGATAAAATAGCCCAGTTCTATAATGTATAATTACTACTTGCACAGTAGATAATCAGTTTAGAAATACACCCTCTGATGGAACATAGAATAGTTAATGATGGTGTTAAAACCACTCATAGTATCTGGTATAAAGACCCGTTGCAGTAATTTCTCAAACAAGGAGAAATTAAAATAATTCTCCAAAAAGAATTCAATAATGGTCATTTGATCACTTAAAATTATTTCTTAAGCATATAGGAATTCAAATAATTCTCCAAAGAGAATCCAAAAATTAATACTTGTAATTTGTCAACTCAAACAAGGAGAAATTAACATAATTTTTAAGCAGAAATCCAGAAAATACTAAAATTTTTCAACAAGTAGAAAGAAAGGGGGAGAAGTTGGCGCTTTGAAAATTTGAAAGACGTAGAGTTATGAGAGTGAGGAAGGAAAAACTCAATAAAAGTTTTTAGTGTGTTTTGGAATGAAACATGTGAGTTCCTTATATAGTGAAGTAAGCTAACCAAGTAATGAAAACTAAGCAATGCGTGACTTATGGAATTCTCTCACTTAACACACACAAC